ACTACGTTATGTGTATTGTCTTGTCGAACTGAAAAGCTGTCCGCCTGCGAAAAAGCTATTTTGTATTCGAAAGAATCTTTAACACGCGAAGCATAGCACGGTTAAATACTATGTATGTGTGTTGTCTTGTCAAACTGAAAAGCTGCCCGCCTGCGGAAAGGCTATTTTGTATCCGAAAGAATCTTTAACACGCGAAGCATAGCGCGGTTAAATACTACGTTATGTGTATTGTCTTGTCGAACTGAAAAGCTGTCCGCCTGCGAAAAAGCTATTTTGTATTCGAAAGAATCTTTAACACGCGAAGCATAGCGCGGTTAAATACTACGTTATGTGTTAGCATAGCACGGTTAAATACTACTTTATGTGTGTTGTCTTGCCTATAAATAACGGGCGCATTCTAGTTATTTTCTGTGCTTAACAATAACCAATAGCAAAACTCTCCATAAAAGCAGGGTTTTTTTTCCGCTTTAACAAATATTTGAACGCCTTTATGTACCAAGGTTCCAGTGCGTCAAAAAATGTATGATGGCGGACTGTTGGGATGATGGTAAAGTTGGGCGCCAATACTGGATGTGTGTGAACAAGTTTTATAGGATTCCCGACGAACCTTTTTGCAATTTTGAGGTATGGATTGATGAATCCTGTAAGCAGGATTTGAACAAAAAGATACGAACGTGATGAGGTTATGTATAAACGAGAAATTGCGGCGTTGAAGGAGAAACTAAAAGAGGTGAAAGAAGAAAAAAATAAGTTGTTGGATCAATTTGAGTGGTTGAAGAAGAGAATAGTTAACTAAACAAACCGATGTATGTGTTGAGTGTTGTATTTTATCTTTATGCTTTCAATGTCATGTATTTTCATTGTGTGTGCCGAATTTAAATTATGTTACGTTGTTGTGTTTGTGTTTGTGTTGTAGCATTAAAATAAGAACCCGGAAAATATATACATAATGTGCATATAACGAAAATAATAAAAATTATTGCTATTATTTACATAAAATAATATTTACATCAAATACAAAAATAAGAAAGAAAATTAATGTGTTCCACAGCCTGTGTGCTTCAATGCAGTCGCTGGCCTGAAGCGCATCCCATCCCGCCCAGCTACGCTATCGGGATCATCCTCATCACGTCGCCTCTTTATAGCAGGATGCGCTGCAATATGATCATCAGTAGTGCTGACAGGATTGGTAGAAGGGGTCGCCGGTCCAGTAGTAACCTACGGAAGAATTAGTCAGCTCGGTATAGGAAAATATATATTAAGTCACAACAATTTAAATTATCTTACCACGATCTCGTCGGGCTCCTGAATATTATCATCCGTCGCAGCCAGGTCAGCATCGCACAAAGCGGCCTCCGTGACGGGCGAGGATGAAGCCTTAATAAGAAAATTAATAAAGTTATTTATGGAAAATAAATGAGAAAAGAAAAAAACAAATTTAAAGTAAATACTGATAAAAACATACTTGCGCCTGTGAAAGCTCCCCAGCACCCCTCGATGATGAGCCATAACTCAGCCGGCGCCCACTATGCACATCTCGGGTCGGCCGATCCTCAGCAGCGGTCGATGGGCCTGGGAAGTATGCATCCCAATGCTCTCCGGTAATGTCCGTGCTCGTGATCAATAATGGACCTGACGGGGTCACCTGCGAAGTCCCTGGAGTGAGCTGCAGCCCAAGGCTGTATGACGGCATGCTGCTGGGATACTCATCCGGCTCATGAAGGTCACCCGACAGATCAGCATCAACATCATCAACATCATCAACATCATCAACAGGGGCCTCAACGCCCCCTTGCTGGGGACCACCTCCTCGCCGCCCACAACGACCCCGTGGGGCAGCCCTGCCTCATGGGGCACCCCTACCTCGTGAGGGCACCCCTACCTCACTGGTACTGCTCTGGCGCCACATAAGCAAGGTCGTGTCCTAAGCGCTGATCCTCTCGGGCTCGCTGTAGTTTCCGGGCAGCCACCTATGCAACCTACCGGCCATAATCGTGCAAAGCGGCCCCTCCCTTGCCGGCATGCTGCTGCATCTGCAATCCAATCTGGTAGACTATATGTAGGCCAATAGCATGCACAACATATAAAATATAAACTACAGAACACTATGTTACAGTTATATAAGTAATAATACCAGAAAACATACCACGGCCTCGTGCCGCCGGCGTATGGAACGTACCGACCGCCAGCTCGATGAATGGGATTTCCGACGAAAAGTTGGGTAACACGGCGGTACCAGGGCATATACTCATGAATAATATCCGTCCAACTCTGTGGGGGGGGGGGGGCTGAATCAGGTCAGCTCACCGGTCCCAAGTATCGACCTGCACCTCTAGCCATGCCACATATGCGTCGTCCACCCTGGAACGATCATCCCGCTGATAATGTGTGGGCTCCCATGTGGGCCTCTCGGTACAAGCTGCGGATGGGCAAACTGGCGAAGTACCCGCTCCGTGGCATGATGCTCCACAATATCGAGGCACATCAGCGGGACAAAAGTGCTCTAAATCAGTCAGCCGACCGAGCAATAATCTGGCATGCCACCTATCAAGTCGTCGCTGTATGGCGCCCAGATGAACTATTAAATAACAACAGAAAACGTGAGTATGCGCAACACATGTGAAGCTATACCAAGTAAACTTAGGTATACATTTACCTATGCGCCCTCCAGCATATCCAACAAATTCCTGCAAAGGGGGAGATTATGCCGAGCCTCGTGGATATGTACGTATCCCCGCTGGAGAACCCACCTCCTAGCTAGAGGTAGAAACATAGATGGTATATCCGGAGGTAATGGTGGTAGAAGTGGCTGCAACTGCAGGAACCGCTCCCAGGCCCAAACCTAACATACAACGTTGACGTAAGATTTAAGATAAATTTTTACTAGATATGTTATAATGAATAGAGTATTCGAGTATGTTGTCACCTGTAGCAGTGGAAAAAATTCACATACGTCATACTGGGTGCCCATGATCGCCCGACATATCTGCCTGTACAAGTAGGCGAGAACAACATCACCCCAGCTGTACTGGGGTAAATCATTTAGCTGCTGAAGATGATGAAGAAATCTCAAGCTGACTAGGTTCCCCGAAGTGTTCGGGAACAAGACCCCTCCAAACATAAGGAGCAGCAGCAACCTCGTATACCGGTGAATATGCAGATCATCTGTCTCGCCAGTGATGTCGGGGTGTAATATCTCCAAATGCTATCGAATAGCTGTCAAATTCATGTGACTGGTCCCTGAGAGTGCAGTCTCATCCTGTGGCCTGAAACCAGTGAGCTGCTGTAGCATGTCCAAATACTGCCCACGCGTCTTCTCTCTCATGGCCTGAAGCAGTGCAACGGGCAGTCCATCAACGGGCAGCCCATATAAAACCTCCACGTCCTGCAGCGTGATGGTGGCCTCGCCAATGGGCAGGTGGAATGTGTGCGTCTCCGGTCACCACTGCTCTATCAGGGCCGTGCCAGTCGAGCTACAGTCGCCCGATCTCCAAAATTCTGTAGAAGCTCGTAACTCGCGGCCGCTGGACTACATGGGGATGGAGATCTCTGTCCTTTATAAAATCCGACATGTCGTCCACTCTCCTGGCGCGGAGAGTCTGGGCCAGTAACTCTCCCTCCCATACGTGGGCGGACCTATGATCGCGTGTAACACTAATAGCTCATCGCAGAAAGGTCCGGGTTGCATAAGCGGCACGTCCATGTCGCCTACTGTAAATTAAACAACATTAATTGTATGTTTGTTCTGTAAATTAAATAATTAATTTTTATAGTTATACAATATTTAATTAGACAGAGTATATATCTATGGGTTCCAGGCTCAATATTTGAGGTCCAGTAACACCAAGCTATTCTGAATTCTTCTATATGTCAATTTTATTATTTTACATGTTAGTTTCATAATTTTGTATGTTTGTTCTGTAAATTAAATAATTAATTTTTATAATTATACAATATTTAATTAGACAGAGTATATATCTATGGGTTCCAGGCTCGATATTTGAGGTCCAGTAACACCAAGCTATCCTGAATTCTTATGTGTGTCAATTTTATTATTTTACATGTTAGTTTCATAATTTTATATGTTTGTTTGTAAATTAAATAATTAATTTTTGTATATTGGACAGAGTTTGTATTTGATATATCAGTGTAAGATATACTTAAACAACATGGATACTACACTAAAAGGCTATACATTTTACTAAGCTAAAATGGCACTATATTACTAGTCTTTAAACTAATAAATAATCTAAACTAGATAAAATCAACAAATATATTTTAATCACAAAACATTCACGAAAATACATATAAAATAGTAAAAGTAATTTATTAATATTTTTATTAACAAATAATAATGATTTCTCAATTTTTACATATTTTTTTAGAACACTAATATCTTAGTCCGGATAAAAATAACATAACCGTTTAAACGCAAAAAAATATAAAGTAACATGGAACACATTCAAAACACCTAATATGCATTATTTATACGAGTTTCGACATAAACTAAATCGGAATACCTTGATTTTTATTTTTCGGAAAATTAAAGAATTGAATATTTGAGTCCGAAACAAGTAAACCATAACAATAGGAATGGATGGCTAGGATGTNTGAAGATTTTTGAAAATGGAGGGAGGGATTCTGGTTCTGCGTGGGGGGAAAGGGAAGGGCGATACTTATAGCGCTTTTATATACCGCGCTATACTTAAATGTCTTATCAACTTTCATATAAAATACGGTTCTTAAAGACGTTATATGTATAACGCTCTTTTAAAGAGCGCTATACATAGATAAGTCACTTTTTTTTTTATATTTATTTTTGTCCTACTTAGCAAAAAGAACCACATTTAAGTTCTGAACTCGTTAATCAAATACCAAGGGGAAAATCAAAAAAATAAAGTAGCCCCTCCACTTCTCTTCGTCTAACACAAAAAGAGGTTTGGGCATGGGGCAATTGAATTTACCTAGAAGCCACCACAATCCTTTCTTTTCATTTTTTTATTCTTGACATCTTGTATATCCACCATTCTCCTTTCTTCATTCATATTATAAAATCAAACCCTCTGCAGGAAAAGGGTTTGATTCATTTTTAACCACTCATTCTCATCCTGGCCACTAACAGGGTCTTTTTTGGTTTTGTCCATTTCCCATCTTTTTGTACCCAAAACAAAAAAAAACCCCACCAATAATCTTTAGAGAGATAGAAACATTGTTTTTCAGGGAAGGAAGAAGAATAAAATAATAACTGCTGAAAGGTTCCTTCTTCTCCCAAAATTCTCTCTCCCTGGCAATTTTTCTCTCTTTCTTTTCTTCTTATTCATAATCTAACCTATACGAGGTTTGTTTTTCTTAATCCTCTGATGCACTTTGTTTTTAAGGTATCAATTGATATGTGACATTGTCTTCTTGTTGACATTCTTGTCGTCTCGTCAATTATGATAAAGCTGTTACCTTTTCTCAACGTTTTTCCTTTTATAACCAATCCATTGATGCAGATTTTAGTATCCTTTTGGCACATGACAGAAGCTTTCAATCTCTCTATCATCAATTCCAGTCAATAATCTTTTCTTAAATATTAAAAGGGGGGTACAAATTACAATTATCCTCGTATTCTGAATTCTCGTCATTTTTAATTCCTCTATTTAGTTTCTTATTTTCGAGCCCCTACACAATCCATTATTTGGCATATAGTAGCATTCTTTTTTTTCTTGTACCAATCTTTAGTTGTTGGTGAAATTTGCAATAATGGGTTGTGCAACTTCAAAGCCAAAAGTATGTCAAAATTGCCATACACCATATTCCCCTGTACGCAGAAGCTACTCAATGTACATACCAAATAAGAAAGATCATAATGAGAGTGAACAACATTTGGTCAATCTCACTTCCTCCACATTAGGATCATTGAAACTTGACTCAATGAACCTGAGTCAAAGTCTCAAAGATGATCAGTTTGCATTCGAAATCGACGACTACGATGTAGCAAAGGGAAGTAAAGACGAGCTGTTAATTGAGGCAAGAACATGGTCACAAATGATCAATGAGAAAATCCCAAATGTTGTGATTCCTAAGACACCAGTAAGAACGCCACCAGGTGAGCCAGAAACTATTAATGCTTGGGAATTAATGGAAGGTCTTGAAGATATTACTCCTCTTAAACCTCATCTTGATCATAGTTTCTCTTTCCCTGTTTCTCACAATACAACTATATCTTGTCTTGATGTTGATGATCACCAGCTTAAAGAAAATGGCGAAGGGTCGCCGAGAATGGGTGATAACGAGTCTAGTTTACATTCAAATGACACATCTATAGTGTCTGATTTTGATCATGAAGTGATTTCTACATTTAGAAAAGCACTTGAAGAGCTTCCACCAGCTAACCCTTTTCATTTGAAGCCATTAGTCGTAGAAAATCTTCAGGGATCGGATAATGAGGCCGAGTCAAGAAAGGACTCGAAGAGAGAAAACGGAGAAGTACTAACGGAGTGTAATAAATTGGTGTCTCGTGAGATGGAAAAATTGGTTATTTACTTCACGAGCCTAAGAGGGGTGAGGAAAACATACGAGGATTGTTGTCACGTCCGTGTGATTCTAAAGGGACTTGGTGTTAAGGTTGATGAGAGGGATGTTTCAATGCATTCAGGGTTCAAGGAGGAGTTGAAAGAATTATTGGGAGATGGATTTGCTAGAGGGGGATTACCAAGGGTGTTTTTAGGTAAGAAATACATTGGTGGGGCTGATGTAATACGGAGAATGAACGAGGATGGGAAGCTCGAGAAGTTAGTAGAAAATTGCGAACGAATAGAGGATGGTGGTTGTGGGATTGGAGTTGGAAATAGAGTTTGTCAGGCTTGTGGAGATATTAGGTTTGTACCATGTGAGACATGCTCAGGGAGTTGTAAAATATACTATGAGGCAGAGTATGACGAATTGGAAGTTGAGGACGATGACGATGAATATGGCTTCCAACGTTGCCCGGATTGTAATGAGAATGGACTGATAAGATGTCCAATTTGTTGTGATTAAGGTTCATCAACATTGTCCCGTTCTTTCCTTCTTTTTTATCCTTTTTTTCTGGTTAATTGTCTTGATGTTAAGATAATTGTTGTATAGTAAGGAGTTTTTCTTGTATTAGGAAGATAATGTAGTTGCAGTATGATAAACCAGAAATCTGTTCCAAGCTCCAGAGCTGTGTTAGAAGAGAATGTCTTGTAGTCCAGTTTCCATGTTTCCAGGTAAAAGATAAGAACCTCATACCATTTTCTTTTTATGTAAAGCTTATTCCTCATACTAATGTAAGGATTTTAACTTGTATACACAAGAATTTGTCAAGGTAACTTGCCTTATTTTCTGGGTTACTAAGTCTACTTTTATGGATGGTTAACCTGTTGTTACTCTAAAATAATACTACATACTCTAAGTTTCAGGTGGGCAATAATGGTTTTGGACTTTGGTGCGTACCATTTTATGCCTCAAGTAGTAGTGGTATTGATTCAAGAATTGCATTTCCAAGAATCATCTGGTGCCAACTGTCAAATGCAATTGCAGGATTCTTTGCTTTGTTGCATAGTATAATTCTTTCACTCCCCGGCTAACAATTCTCTTCCTTCTCTACACATGATCAAAGTCACTTAGTTAGTTGTACTCAAAATTGCAATTTGATGAGTTTTGAAATTTAGGTTCAAAACCAAATATTTATTGAAATTTTAGTGATTACATATATAACCCATTTGATTATGTGCTCTAAAGAAAAGGAAGGAATTAGTGTGGAAACAAAGCACATTAATTTGTAGTATTACTAACACTAGCTTTGAATGTTGTCAAGTGCCCAAAAGTGAAACAGACGGTGTAATCATTATGATTGCTTTATCCACAATACACCTTTACAAGTTAAAGAATATAGTTATAACTTATAAGTAAAGTTGTTGCGGACAGGTTTGGAAGTCTCCACTCTAATTGTAAAGAAAGAAGACAGATTGGAAAGCATAAAGCCTGGGTTGTTGACAAGTTAATGTAGTTCTTTTGATAAAAAGTGCTAAAGTTGAGTTTTTCAGCTTAGTCATATATTCTCCATTGATGACATCTGCTTTACTGGCTTGCCTCTCCAATTTAATATGTCCTCTCTAACACAAACTACGTGTTGTGTTTAACTCTCAACAATTGTGCTAAAGCATAATGAAAAGAGTCGGGTGTACATATGTCAGGTTGGTTTGATTTTCTAGGGATTTTTTCCTAAGTAAAGTCTTCATAACACCAAATATATAATTTGTGCTCCAAATATTTCTTTAGCCCTAGTAAGATACAACTATATTAGATATTTCCCAAGAAAATAACACAAAATGTGATGATTCATGGCATTATACAAAAAATAATAAAATTACATAAAATAAATATTACTAATTAATAAGCCATAATAAAAGTGATCGTAATCTAAAAGTACTAAGTCATGCTAAAATAAATATGGCTAATCTATATCTATCTATATCATCATATAATACTAAAAGTAGGAAGTTCCTACTTTCAAAGTTAATTTACAATAATATTCTTTAAAATTTGAGTTACAATTTTGTCCCTAGAGAAAAATAAATCTTTAATGAAGTAATTTATTTTTACATGATAAGTTAATCGGCAGATTTTTGGAAGTGAAACAGTAGTACTTTAATACTTCAAACACTCAATTCAATGAATCCAATTAGGGTTAAGGGTAAGTATGGGAAGTATAGTTCATGATTGAGGCAAACAAGAGAACTCTGGTGAAAGACGTTCACCGCTTAGTCAAGCTAGGAGTTCGACTTTCGGACTCCGAAGGTGGTGGAGTTGTTGTCCAGAACAGGACTTGTAACTCCTTATTCTGGATGTCAAAATCGAAGCAAAATTCGTACTCTGAGAAATTTGAACAAATGCGACGCACCGTGCGATGCGCTAGTGCAAATTCCTGCTCCTGTTAAAGTGCAAGCTCTCTGAAGTTTCCCACTGCCGCCCCACCTGGCGCGTCGCCCTATGCGGCACGCCTGTGAAAATTTTACAGAACAATTGTCCTATTTCGCATAGGAAAAAGTATTTTCGTTTGGGCCCGACCCTACTTTGTATAAATACATGGAAAACCATTATTTTTGGGACTTTTGACACATCTAAGACCTAAGGAGGCTAGAGAGAAGGTGGAGAAGCGAAAGCACAGGGAATTCATCATTCAATCCTCACTCAAGACAAGAGTTTGGATCGTTTTATGCTTTTCTTTATATTTGTGATGAATTACTCCATATCTATGGAGTAGTTATCTTTAGGGATTGATAGATTTGGTGTATTGATATTTGTTTGAGGATATTAACTCTAGTTTTTATGCATTGAATCGTTTTGGGTATTTTAATTATTGCATCTATATTCACATGCTCATGTAATCGAGAGACACTTGTGATATCTTTGCATTATCTTATTGGTTGAATTCATTAATTCTTCTTAGTAATCGAAAGAGTCTAGTTGAATTATTATTTAGACCTAGTTAGGAGGATAATCGAGAGAGGTTCTCCTAAAGACCAATCTACTACGAACTCTTGCATATCTTCATACTTATTTTGTGTGCCTTGTTTCTCATCTTTGAGATAGATCCATAACATCGGTTTGGCCGTTTTATTCGTTATGCGGGCTGGATGGTTCTTTGCCAGAGTTCGTTCTTCACTATGGGTCATATTCGAGTTGTAGCTTGTTGTCTCTTTGATGGCGTTGTGTGAGATTTTAGACGGTATTTAAGGTGGCTTATTGCCCGAGCAGCTTGTACTGGGTGAGACGAGGTTAGTGGACCTAAGATCAGTGCAATCAGATTTATGTAGGGTATATTAAAGAGAAAATATCGTTATTTAGTTCAGAATGAGGTAATGGTTCTTGTTAGGTGCAGAGACTCCATGATTTATTGATTTGGCAGGTGGTTATTGTGAGAGTTAGAATAGGGCTTATATGTGTTATGGGGTGTATTGCGGGCATCGAATTCGTGAAATTGCAGCTATTGTGGTCGGAGGATGTTATTATGGGCAAATGACTTATGTGGTGCATGGTGTGATTTCAGCATAGTTGCATGATCATGTTTTAGTACAGTGTGTAGTGATTGATGCGGTGTTCGTATTTCAGAATCGGGTGTCATGGAGAATTCCAGATGTTAGAACTTGGTTCTAAGGCTTGTTAGGTAAGGTTATAGGGAGGATCTTCAATCTGGCTCGAGCTAATGTACTTACATGGGTTGTGGTGGCACAAGTAGGTGCACGAGGTGTTAAATAGTAATTTTGGACAACTCCGGAACGGTTCTTGGCACGTTCGATGACGAACGTATGTTTAATTGGGGGAAAATGTAACGACCGACTGGTCGTTTTGAGCTCTAGCATATCGTTGGGATATTTGAGGCCTTAGGTAGCTTCACTTCATGTATTATGACTTGTACGCGTAGTCGGAATTGAATTTCAGGAAGTTCGAAGTTGATTCGGATGGAAATATCTCATTTCGGAAGCTTTAAGTTGGAAGAGTTGACTAAGGTTTGACTTTTGAGTAAACCATCTCGGAATTGGGATTTGAAGGTTCCAATAGGTTCGTATGATGATTTCGGACTTGGGCATATGTTCGGTTGAGTATCGGGTCACCCGGGAATATTTCAACGCTTATTGTGGAAAGTTGACATTTTGAAAGTTTTAGAATTTCTTAAGTTTGGTTTGAGGTGGACTTTGGTGTTATCAATATCCGTTTGGGGTTCCGAGCCTTGAAATAGGTTCGTATCGTGATTTATGACTTGCACGTAAAGTTTGGCATCATTCCGGAATGTTTAAGTATGAATCGGACGCGTTCGTCGAAGTTTGAAGGTTTAAAGAAAAGTTTCGATCGTCGATTCATAGTTTTGATGATGTTTGGTATGATTTAAGGCCTCGAGCAGGTTCGTGTTATGTTTTGGGACTGGTTGGTGTGATTACACAGAGTCCTGAGGGCCTCGGGATGGTTTCAGACCATTTTCCCTTTATTTGTGATTGCTGGTTTCTGGTGTTTGGGTTGTTCATCGCGATCGCGTAGATAGGCTCGTGATTGCGTAAAGTTGACTAGGAGCTGGAAAAGCTGTTCTTCGCGATCGCAGGGATAGGTTCGCGATCGCGGAATGCGTTGGTCTGAGGCATAAAGGTTTGGCCTTCGCGTTCGCGGAGCTGGGCTCGCGTTCGCGTAGGCTGATCAGGCAGAGGTTCGCAATTACGTTGCTTTTGTCGTGTTCGCGTAGAGGGAAATCTGGGGCAGCTGAATTTGGCCTTTGCGATCGCGAAGGTATTCCTACGATCATGAAGAAGAGCGGGCATGGGCAGATTGATTTAATACGGGACTTAGCCCATTTCTCTCCCATTTATCATTTGGTTGGGCGATTTTTGGAGCTCATGGAGGGACGATTTTCATCATCTATGTCAAAGTAAGTAATTTTTGCATATTGTTAGCGAACTACATTGATTCTACAAGGATTTAAACATGGGAATTAGTAGAAATTGTGAGATTTTGAAAGAAACCTAGAAATTGGTATTTTTGAATTTTTACCACGAAATTCGATATGGAATTAGGAATAAATTATATAATTGAATTTGTGGTGTTATGGGTAATGATTAATTTTCGAAACCCGGGCACGTGGGCCTGAGGGTTGACTTTGTTGACTTTTCGAACGGAGTTGAGAATTATTATAAATTGTAAATTGTACGCATTGGAGTATATTTTGATTGATTTGCACCTTGTTTGACTAGTTTCGGATCGTTTGGCTTTGATTTGAAGAGTTAGAGAGGCATTGGAGCCAGTTAGAACTTCATAGCGAGGTACGTCTCCTGTCTAATCTTGTGAGGGGGAGACATCCCCTAGATGATGTAATTGTTATGTGCTACTAGTTGTGGGTGCTACGTACGCACGAGGTGACGAGAGTCCGTACGTAGCTAAAGCATGTTTATGTCCGGGTAGACTTAGGAGCTTATTATGTAATATTTGAATGAACTCATTTTACTAGTTTAATTAAGTGAATTTATAATTTAAATTGATTTAGGAATATATATATATTAGGTCGAGTCTTATCACCTTGAGTTGGCAAAATATTTGATAAACGGTAAAGGGTATACCCACTTTATGCTCATATACTTGTATTGTAAGCATGTGACTCGTAATTTGATAAGTTTCTTCCTTTCTCGTGGAGCAGGACGAACGCCTCGGCAGTATAATAGATGTATCTATGGTTCGTTTCGGTCGACTCTCGGCAGTGTGCACATTATTCTGGATCGGGCCGTATGACCTCAGTATAATCGTGCGTTATAGCGCTAGCAGTCCGAATATTCACGAGATTATCCTTCCACTGATGCTTGGTATTTTATATGGTATTCCTTATCCGTTTGATACTGGCACTTGATACATCTGAGCTGTCAAGATAGAATACGAGACTGAGAAATTTATATCTTTAAAAGAAATTTTTGGAAGATTTTGTAACTTACAGTTTTACCCCATTATTGTTGTTGTGCTTCATATCTGCTTATGATTTATCATATTGCTTTATTGGACCTCTAGTAAGTGTCAATGTCGACCGCTCGTCACTACTTCTCTGGGGTTAGGCTAGATATTTACTAGGTACGCGTTGATTTACATACTCATGCTACACTTCTGCACTAAATGTGTAGGATCTGTCAAGTTCATTTGGTGGCCATCTTGGCACGTAGGCGCAACTGCTGAGGGGACTTTATGGTGAGCTACTT